TGGTGTTTAATTTGGGGAGAGGAGCGCACCGACGCTGATTGCATCCGTTTTCACACATTAGCGTCTGGGCAGCCAGGCTTTGCAGTGACGGAGCAAAGAGACATGGAGAAAAGGGATGTGGCTGAGCTCCATACAAGGGGCAAACACTGGACGTGACCCCCAAATCCACCGCCATCTTTCCCATGATACTTTTTTTCCCATGCATTATCAGTGCCCCAATAGGAATCTACTGCAGTATTTTACAGAGCAAAAGGGGTTTCCCTCCAAGAGCAGCTTCCCCAGCTGCTCCCTCTGCGTGCAAAGACCCAGAACCACCAAGCTCAGCTCCATATCCCATGCCAGCCCTACCCATGCCTTTGCTGGGGCTGGAAGGGTTGCATGGCACGGTTGCTCTCCAAGTATCTCCAGCACTGCAGCGTGCCCCATCCCCACTGCAGAACCCCCGCAGTGCAGCTCACAGGAACCCCATGCAGAGCAGCATTGCCCGCGGAGCAGCTGGCACAGGGCACGCATTGCTCAATGCCCCTCTCACAGCCTCGCCCCAGCAGCAACGAAACGCAGCAGTGAAGGGCAGTGCCAGCACGGGCATTGCGTAGCACTGCACAGCACGGCACAGTGTTGCATGGTATGGCTTTGCATGGCACAGCACTGCATGGCAGAGCATGGCACTGCACGACATTGCACGGCACAGAGTTGCATGGTGTTGCACAGCATTACACAGTAAGGCACTGGACAGAACAGCATTGCGCAGCATGGCATTGCATGGCATTGCACAGCACTGCACAGCACTGCATGGCATTGCATGGTATTGCACAGCACTGCATGGCATTGCATGGTATTGCACAGCACTGCATGGCACTGCACAGCACTGCATGGCATTGCATGGCATTGCACAGCACTGCATGGCATTGCATGGCATTGCACAGCACTGCATGGCACTGCACAGCACTGCATGGCATTGCATGGTATTGCACAGCACTGCATGGCACTGCACAGCACTGCATGGCATTGCATGGTATTGCACAGCACTGCATGGCATTGCATGGTATTACACAGCACTGCATGGCATTGCACAGCACTGCATGGCATTGCATGGCATTGCATGGCACTGCACAGCGTGTCATGATACTGCCCTCCCGCGAGCTCTGTGCTTGCAGAAATGCCACCCAACACCTTGGGAACAAGTTGAGCACTTATTCCCAAATCCATTCTTTACATTGGTTTATTCCCAAATCACTGCATCCCCCATCCCAGCACCACATCGGCCCCATCCTGCCGAGCTCAGCAGGTGCAGCCCTGTGAGCACAGCACCCACCACCCCACACGGCCCCCACCCCACTGCCCACCCCCAGGCCCCCTCAGCCCACCTGGGAGCGGGGCGGGCAGGCGCACACGTGCTGCTCGGCGCAGTTGGTTATGGTTACGTTTGGCATCAGTCGCTTCCATTGGGCTCAATAGGGGAGGGAGAGAGAAAAAGGAAAACTCAGCTCAAGGCGATTTAATAAGTTCAGTGTTACGAGCTGGGGAAAAGCTGTGGAACACACAAGTGGTAACGCAGGATTAATCTTTCCTTTAGTCTTGGGAATTATGTTTTCATTAATCCTAATTTTTCCAGATGTTTCACTCCTTATACCAGGCTCTTCAAAGCCTCTGTGGCTGCAAATTCTAATGAAGCCATGAGAACATTTTAAAGAGAAAGATTCAAAGCTTAAATTGCTTCCTTTTTTTTTTTTTTTCTTCTCTCTCTCTCTTTTTTTTTTTTTCTTTTACTTCTTTTTTTTTCTTCTTTCGTTCCCCCCTCGTTGGGCTGTTGGGGAGCGCATGTGTGTGCGGTCCCGGCGCCTCCACATGTTGTGTTACACAATGTGCTAACAAGATGGAGCGGGCCGTGGCCGCGTGATGCGCAGTGACGTCTGTTCCTCTTTGTCCCTGGGCAGAGCGAGGGGCTCAGGGGGGGGCTGGCCACCTGCCCAGCTCCGTGGGGCAGAAGCAGCCGGTCTCTGGTGGAGGTTGCGGCATCGCCACGACAGCGTGGGGAGAAGAAAAAGGGATGGGTTAGAAAATAGCCAGGCGTTTGGGTAGGACCTACACTGTGTGTTTGGGTAGGACCTATTCTATGTGTTTGGGTAGGACCTATTCTATGTGTTTGGGTAGGACCTACGCTATGTGTTTGGGTAGGACCTATTCTGTGTGTTTGGGTAGGACCTACGCTATGTGTTTGGGTAGGACCTA